GAGAGAGAGAGAGAGAGAGAGAGAGAGAGAGAGAGAGAGAGAGAGAGAGAGAGGGAGGGAGGTGACATGGTGTTTCTTGGCATTGGAGCTTCAGTGCAGGGCTTGTCCGGTTATGGTGGAGCAGCATTGTGTTGGGGGGCATTGATTGGCAAGTGACAATATTGGCGCAGGATATTGATAGACTAGCAGAAGGGGAAATGTTAACAAATGCAGGAAACCACATGGACGAAGATCAAGACCGTATCTTGCTGCAAGAGCCAGGAAAGGAATGAGCACAGCAACAATGAAACGATTCTCGTGGACGGACACAAGGATCTGCAGACCACACTTTTGCAAGATTGTAGGACGTAAAGGCTATCTGACAGTCTACGTAGACCGACACTGAGAGGAATCTCGAAATCATTCCGGGCCTGACTAGGAGTCAATCCTCTTATCAAAGGAGCAATCAATGCTCTCCAGGGTCTCCTCCGACCAGAATGAAAAGAATCACACTGATGCCCCATAACTATTATTATTATTAGTATTATTATTATTATATGATGATGATGATGATGATGATTTAATAAAGGAGTATTGCACTCATCTGCTTCCAGTGGAGTTCGAACTCTGCACCTGGTCTGTATTTCAGCAGTTCACGGCAGGGGTGTACCATCTGAGCTAGGCCAAATGGTTCCTGCGGAATAGAAAGGATCCACAGCTAGATTTCTGTTACTTAGAAAGAAGCTAGGGGGAAAATGTGATCACATTGGCCAGCTAGTAGGAGAGGAGGCCAACATCGCTCTTTAACTTCATTATTATTGTCGTTGTTTGGCAATGGAGAAGTTTGATCATATGATTCATATCATTGTAGATCCTGCTTATTGTCATGTTGTTGTTAATGCTTGTGAACTCATTTCTCAGTCTCGTCACAGAGAGAATGAGATCAATTCACCTCGATTGCAAACAATAACAAAAGAAAACACTGTTTCCCCTCTTCTCTCCTCCGGGTCAAAGCTTCCTCCTCCTCCTCATTCAATCAAAGAACAAACAACTCCATGTATAAGACACCATTAAGGGCCTCGCCACACCACTGTCGAAACGAAAAAAGTACTAGTGCATCTTCACGCAGAGAGTGGCAAGATGCATCCAATACTAAATAGCAAAGGATGCATCTCACCTCTTTCTGGGTAAGATGCATTCGTTCTGTTCTCGTTCCAACAGCGGTGTGGCGAGGCCCTAAATTGAAAGAAAGCTTCTCTCAATTCACTTTCCATTTGCTCTCTCGTTCTCCTGATCGAGGGGCAGTGCTAACACAAAACCAACCTACACGGCCTCTGGAGATGTGGCACCAATCAAGAAGGTGAATGTCTGAAGAAGGTGCCTTGTCATCTATCAAGACTCTCTCACGAATATGACCCTGGTTTCACCGCTGGATTAAACTGGTCTTTTGACGTTCTCCATGCTCCGACGTTGATAGAACTCCTCGATAAATCGTGAAGACTTGCGCAGTGCGTTACGCCCAAAGTTCGTCTGTGGCCATCACCACCAGTGCGATGATCGGGAATGCCATCTTCCATAGCTATAAGCTTTCAAGGTCCACAGCTCTGCAAATGCCAGAACCTGCAGTTGTAGTGCAGCGTAATGGCCATGTCATCGAGGCAAGTGCCCCCAGCCTCTTGTGGTCTGGCCTATGTTTGACTAGGTTGGCCAGGTATCCTCCCTCTGGCCTCGAGGGCTTCTTACAGGCATCCCTGAAGCTAATGCTGCTGCATCATGGGAGGGGAAGTGTCTTGCATTCATCCCCCCTCACCCCCTTATCGCTTGCCTGCTGTGCCATTGTGGCGTTGACATGCCATGGTTGAGTAGCTGTGAATGTGACCCTGCTTTCCTGCAGGCATGTCAGCAACATGCCATGCGTCGTCCATGTTTTGAGGAAGCTGTCGTGGAGAGTGTCTCTCTACTGTGTGAACTATTCCTAATGCCATCACCTGCCGCATCCTCCATGTCCCACATGCGACGTTGGCCATCCTCCTCCTGCACCTGCAATTGAACCGTCTCCATCCTTGCCAGACGAGGAACAGACGCAGCCGCCTAAGGTGGAGAAGATACTTCTCAGATGAACCACATACAGTGGGCCGTACTGAAAGATTATCGCGGCCAGGGCAAACAGTTGCAGACCATATTTTGCAACAGCTAAACGCCCATGGCTACGATCCGGACGTCCGGACCGCCGTCCAGACGGTCCGGATTTGGTCTGGAATCCGGACGTCCGGTCCAGACGGTCAGGATCTGCCAAATTTCGAGGGAAAAAAAAAAAAAAAACGGTCCAGGACCCTTCCCCATTGAGGAGCCAAGCCCCCAAAATTGTTTTGAGGGTTTTTCAGGCCCGTTTATGCTTTTTTGGGGGGTCCGGACATGCTCTCTCTCTATAATAATTTATTAGACAACCCCAAGTTTTTTATTATGAATAATTCATTACCTTTTATTAGTTTTTTAAACTTTTTTTAAGTCTTTTCTTAAGCTTTTTATAGTTTTTGACTTTTAACTCAAGTTTGGTTAGGAATTCTGACATGACTCTGAGGCAAAAGTGGTTTGCATTGTTATTCTGCATAACATACTTTTTTTTCAGATTTTTTTTTTTTTTTTTTAATGGTCCGGACATTTTCCGGACCTGTCCAGACATCCGGACCGTCCGGATCCCCCCATGTCCGGAGGTCTGTAAATGTCCGGAATTCCGGACGTCCGGAAACTACTGGACACGGGTCCGGTTCCATGTCCGGAAATGTCTGGGTCCGGGTCCTTACCTCCCACCAGGCCCCATCATCACCTGCCCATAGAGAGGGAAAATGGGCCGCGGAAACGTGCTCAGTGCTGCACTATGATGACACACCTGAGATTTGGCAAGCATGTGATTAGCATGCTTTGTGCCGTGATGATTATGAGGGTATACCCATGCAAGTCATTGTTTTCATACCTATGATGACAGTCACCATTGTAGTCATGTACGACACCCTGACATGGTATGTCCTATTTGTAGATAGGGGTCGATTGTGGTCGGCGTGCCTCTGTTGAAAGGGTTTCACCCAGTTCGCACAATGTTGCAGGCACCAGGACTCGATCCCTATACCTTCACCAGCCACTGTATAGTAGCCCGTTGACCCTGTGTGTTTTGAACCTGCGACCTGTCCCTAAACTCGTGCACAAATGTTTTGAGTATGTAGTCTGGGTTGTGTGGACTTGAGCCGTAGACGTATGGGTTAGTAATCTTAGGGTCAGTCTATAGTTCCAGCCCTACATGTGGCGAAAGCTCGGTCAGTCGTTGTTTGGGAGGTTCTAGAAACGTCAAACTGACCCTTCGGAGCTTTAGGAGTCAGTCCCTCAGACTCTGAAAGGTCAAGTATCCCTAGTCTAATCAGCAAGTACAGTCCCAGTCCTAGTCTAGTCAGCAAGTACAGTCCCAGTCCTAGTCTAGTCAGCAAGTACCAAGTGGGACTGCACATCCTACGGGCCTGGGACATCGGGCAGGCCCAGACCACCTAACGGAACAGTATAAATAAAGAGGCAGCGACCAGCCACTCACTCATTATCTGGTGGACTACGTGGAAGTGCTGCCCAAGTGACTTGTGCATTGAAGTTCGCCGGTGGTAAGCCAATGCCCGAAGGTGGAAGAGGGTGAGCGGCCATAGCCGCTAGTAGGAGGGAGACAACGGCGGCCATAGCCGCCAGTGTAGCAGATATGATATATGTGTGTGTATGTGCGAGGACATTCAGGGTGGATCCTAATACGTGTGTACGTATGTGCGAGTGAGTGGAGTGAGTCTGACGGTGGATACAGTGTGCAGGTGGGAATTTCAGACTGGCGCTCAGAGGCCATAGCCACAAGATGTGACAAGTTGATTTGAGCTGAGTCCCTGGCTGAAGGCCATAACTCTGAGTTTTCTGTGTGGGCGCCCTGGTCCATCTCACTCTTGTTGCTGATCCTACTTCGAGGAAGTTATTCTGCCATCGGCACCTGCATGTATGCATGTTGGAAGTGAAGTTGAAGTCAAGTCTGATTGCACTGACATCCTAGCATGTGGGGGCCACGTAGCCCGTGACATCTGTCTAAGCTGCGCCATTTGATGCAGCAATTGCAACTGCGGATTGATTGAGGTGCACTTGACAGTCCACAACCGAACCGGTCCTGTCTGATCTTTAGGGGTGGCCATTTACTGTAGGTGCCGCCTGCTCCTTGACTCATTTTCTCTGCAACCCAAACACTGGCTGGCCTCTTGTGCCATTCCATAGTAGTCTGCTCTGCCGGTGAGTTCGGAGAACCCGGTGAAGTTCTTCTTTCCCCTGTCCTGTTTCTTCTTCTCCCCATCTCCCTCCTATTTCACCCTCCTTCCTCCCCTCGTGCAGAATTACGAAAGGCATACGGATGAGCATCATAAAGAGAACAGACAAAATATACTGCTACCCCTTCACTCTACCTCCTTTTCATAGCGTGCAAGTGGGCAGTCATGGCACATGGGGATGTGGGCAGATTGTTCTCAACCACATCAACGCGGCGAGCGTTTTTCGTGAGAGGCCCTGTAAAAAAGGGCAGCTGAGGGAAAAGTAGAGAATTAGGTTATGCATGCAACCATTGCCTGGCAGAGATGCCCCCTTCTCTTGGTTCCTCTACTATGTGCGAGGGCTCAAGGAGTTCATCAACTTTTTTTCACTCACAAGTCAACTGAACACATAATTCAGGACACAGCTCACAGCATGATCAACTTCCCTTGTTTCTATATTGGCTGAACAATGTGAACATGTTTCTTTTTTTTTTTCTTTTTCTTTTTCTTTTTTAAGTTTTAGCATGTTTCTGTGCTTTGCAGGAAGGAGAAAGAAGAGAATGGTGAGAATACTGCTGAACAGAGCGGAGAACGTGTTAGTAAAGTTCCTCACAGGCCTGCTACTTGGGAGGAAGCGCGGAGAGAAGATGAGAGACAAAGAAAAGTGGCAGAAGCAGGATGGCCGAAAGTGCAGGCGAAAACGAGGAGGCATCATAAGGTAGAAGAGCAGGCAAAGCCTGTCCATCACGAGAGGAGCCATTGTGCATCTAATTTGCGTCCACCTCAATCAGGAACTGTGATGGATGTGGTGCTTGGTTCTGCCAACCATGATGCAGACGATAAGTCGGGTGCAAGTTCACAATGTGAGATGCTCGCAGAGGAGAAGCCAAGGGTTGTTGATTGGTCCAAGAACGTTTCAGCTAATGCTGAAGTGGTGATTTCACAGTACAGCCCTCAAGTGACGAGCCCTCAAGTGCCGAGCTCGCAGGAGGGCAGTCAAATTGCATCAGGGGTTCGAAATATCGAGGCTTCCCTAGAAGAAGAGAATGGAAGTACATCTGCAGCAGCGGCAGGAACTAACGAAGTCCATGGATCATTTCCTCCCGCACCTGAGGCTGGGGTTAAACCTTCTGCTGTCCAGCCAATGCGCTCTGCTGTGGTGCTGCCTCCATCCATCCAACCCTCCACTGTGCTACCACTTCAGTTTGGGCAGGTTTGCTGCGGAGAATGGGACCAGATTGTTTTTTCAGGACATGTTTCTGCAGATGATGAACATCCTGTGCAAGTGCAGCAGGATATGCCAGTTGCTTCCAATCTTCAACAGGATGATGCAGTAGATGAGGAGTGCGGACATGCAGTAGATGAGTGCCAACATGCAGTAGATGAGGAGCGCCGACATGCAGTAGATGAGGAGTGCCAACATGCAGTAGATGAGGAGCGCCGATATGTTTCGACGAGAAATGATGACCAAGATGAAGGTCTCCAACTGAACACTTTCACGGCGAATGAGCTACAACGTCAAGAAACTTGCCGTCAAGTCTTACACGAGGAACCTAGTCATCACTTCGATGCTTCTGAGGTGACGCCTCTGAAGCTTGGATTGGAGGGAGTAATTCAACATGAGCAAGCGCAGCATGTAATACGTGTGCCCGTTCCCTCACAATTATCAAGTCAGATGAGTCAGATCTCGCAGAACTCCTCGTCCACAGTGCCATTAGAAGACCGCAGAACCTCGTCACCGGCAGAAGTTGCTGTGGTTTCAGCATCATATTCCCAGATGCAGATGATGTCTGATGTGACTGGTCTGCCTTACCATCCCCATCCTTATTGTGCGCAGGCGTCGTCCAACCATTCACAGCCTAACTTCTGGCAATCGCATCTTTCGGAAGCGCAAATTATGTCCTCCTCTCATCCAACCCTGCCTCAACCACAGCAAAGTAACATTCATCAAACCCGTGTCCCTGTACCATGCCAAGTTGAGCATTTCTTCATCCAGCAGAATGTGGTATGGCACCAGTATCAAGATTTTAACCATCAGGCTCAGCTGGCAACCCAGCATCCGATTCATCTTGCCTCTCCAGGGCACTATCCAGACTTGCAGCCAATACGGCTGGCACAGCCAGCACAGCCGGGTCGGCCACATCCTTTATACCCAGGGAAGCTTTGTATCACTCCACAGCGGGTATCTCAAGCACAACCACAGTTGCATTTCACAGGGGTCCAGCTACCTGGGCAACCTGCAGGGTCCTTGCCTTCAGAATTTAAGCATCTGCAACACGTACACCTTGCACAGCCAAGCCCACAACTGGCTGGATGGCATCCGCACGTCATCATGTTACCGCGGCAGGCTTGGCCGTACCCATATGTGCGCATGACCCCGCCAATGGCTGGCCGCGCAGAGCATGTGGGACACAGTTCTCACACGACAGTGGAGTCTTCAGGGTCGGATCGACTGTCAGAGCCCAGCCTTATGCAGGTTGCACACCCTGACAGTCAATCTCCATTACTGGGGATGCAAGCAGCGGCGCATTCCAACTTGCCACAATCAGTATGGTGGCAATCTGAAGTGGAGTCCCAATCCTTGAGTTGTTCTGTCGATGTTCATCACAAGGGGTCTACAATTAGTGGATCACAACTGCTTCCAGGAGCAGCAGCACCTTTAAATACTTCACATCAACTGACCGGTGAGGGTTCCATAACCGAGGCCGAAGTTGGATTGGGGGTATTGATGGGCTCAGTATCGAATGAGATTGAAGAGGAACAACTTTCGCGATTGGTAAAAGGGGCAGAAGGTTCGTCACCACCACTACTTGCTGCACAGAGTGGTCTGAAACATGCTCTCAACACAGTTGGTCTGAACGGGGTTTTGGGCCATAGCCACGTCAGCGGCCACACTCTGGTAGAGGGATCGCTTCCAAGGGGATCTGGTCCACCTTTAGACAGTGAACTTGACAGGGTTGAGGTGGATGCCAGCAGTGCGAGAGGAGGCGGGGAGAAGGTGATTGTGAGCAGCCATCATTATGATGGGCATGGGAATGAACATGGAAGTCCTTCACAAAGGGGGGCAAGTTTACATGTCCAAGGGCTCCACCGACAATTTCAAAATGGTAGTCATCTTGAGCAATCTGTGATGAGCCAGCCTTTAGAAAAGCCAAGTGTCAATGACAGCAGAGAACAGCCTATGCTTGAGCAGGACTGGCATCACCCAGAGCTGCCTTGTACCAGTCAGCAGCAGGCTTCCACCCATGAGTCGTCACAACAGCTTGTTGTGACGCCTCAGGGAAAACTTGTGGAAGACGAGGAATCGTCTCCGTGCGACAGTGCACAGCAGCGGTGCAATGGTTATCAGGAGCAGCTGGTGATGTCCGAACAGGTCCCCAGGAAGGAGAAACAGATTCAACAAGGTTCATCATTGGCATCTCAACACAGTGAATCCCTGGAGTGGGAACGACCCAGCTCGCTTCATGGGGGGCAGGCATCCAGACAGCAGGGGGCTTACATGCCTTTGGGTAAGGCAGCGCTTCCGAAGGTGCAGGAATCTCAGCAACAACGGTCTCTTGACCAACGACAGCAAGTTGCTAGGAGTCGTTACGATCCAATGTTGCAGCAACGACCAGCAGGTGTCCACAGTGGTAGATCAGCTGCAAGCGGTGAGGAAGCTCGACCACCAGAGATCTCACTCCAAGCCCACAAACTTGCGGACCCAGCGCACCAACCCCAAACTTGTGGCGGCCCGACACCCTGGGATACGCAGAATGCCGACACTTCTACCGTGGTTCTTTCAAGGACAGATGCCCTGATTGCTCAGAATGTAAGTGCCCTCCGAATTGGGAGTCTATCGAGGGAGACTGGAGGTCGGGGCACTGAACGAGTTCCACTGCGTGAGCAACAACGACGCGATCAGCTTAAACGTCTACAACAGCAGCAGCAGAGTTTGCATTGGCCCCCTGGACAGGCATTAGGAGATTACAGAAGTCAGTTTGCTCTTCCAGAAGAGCTGTCTCAGCTGGACATGGGAGGTAACCTAGTTTCTGAGGTGGATATGTTACTGCAACAAAATCCAAGCTCATCTGAATTGGGGACAGTTAGTGATGAGATCAAAGACCAACTCCCGCTTGTATCAGAGCTCATAATGGATGGCTTGCACAGGAATACCCCCTTGGCTGGTGATGCCTCCTTTGCTTCAATACAGCAGCATGCCACAATAAATCCGCTGGTAAGGCCCGAACCGTGGAAGACTTTGCATGGGGCTGAGACTGCAGGGAAATCGCTAGGGAACCATGCTCCTAGCATTGTGGATGGACTTCAGCGATGGAAAGATGTGCTCGTCAGTGGCAGAGAAGATGCCATCCAGAAGAGCAATGGAGATGGCGAAACATTACCAGAGGAGGAGAAGAACATTGAGGCTTTACTTGGCATGCTCGCGGTGGACAAGGAGCGGACAGGTGCCGGTTTTGAGGGCTTCAACAATAGAGTTCGTAGTTCCGATGCCATCAAAGACGAATGCGTTATGGGGAACGAGGTGGCGTTTGCTCCAAGCTCAATGCCATGTTCTTTGCAGTCTGCAGAACAGCAAGCTGTTCACAGAAGGGGGTCCTTGACGACGGTGGATGGTGATCCAAGGAGGCCAGGGATTGAAGCAGAGGCTGCCTGTAAAGGTAAAGAGTCGGGGACGTCGCCATCCCAATCATCAAGCCCTTTGCAGAATCATAGCCAGCAACCAAGGAAAGAGTTTCCGGTTGAGTCTGGTCTTAAACCACCAGTACCTTTCCCAGCTATTTTGCCATGACGCGCCGGGGAACACGGGGAGGCCGGTGGGGTTCGCTACCGGACCGAAATGGCTGGCAGCACCAGCCAAAATGAAGCCCGCGGGTTCGTTTTATTTGGCGCGCAGGGTGATTTTAGGCTCGGCATCGATAGCTTTGAAAGGTACTGGTGGTTTAAGGCATCACCGTCTTGTGCTGAGCTGAAGGTGAAACACATTCCGGCTTCCTCTCTACTGAAATTCTTTTGATATTTCACCTCAGTGTGTCCCATGCAGTTATGCCAGCATAGGGCAGTGTGTGAAGTACCCGGAAATTGACGATGAACAGGTCCCGGTTCCCGGTACTGACAAAACCATCCTTTCTTGGATCTTACCTACCTCGTCTCTCAACCAGCGTTCTGGAGCACAGAGTTGCCTCGAAACTGGAATTATCGAACCTTACTTCCAAACTGATGTGCGACCGGTCTACCGGGGGTTGCATGCTAAGTTGCCGAGTAGGCCAAACTGACCTGCGCCCCGATTTGTGCTGGCTCGGTCCTGGGAACTTGTACAAGGTGGGTTTTGGAAAACCACATTCCCCTCGCACAACTTTCTTTCTTGGCCAACCCTATAAAGTTTACCGGTTGCAGACCACGTTGCAACGACCCTTGGTACTCCCTGTGTTCAGTTCTCGTGCATTTGTAGCGCTTGGATTACCTTTGCCGTCACAGCGAACTTTGCCAACCTAGATAGCTGCCACGTAGTCGTTTTTGCTGCTGTTGTGTGCGGGCATGTGATGGAATGATGTTACACGTTACACGTTCCACGTAGTCATGTTTGCTGCTGTCGCGGGAAGGCATGTGATGGGACGTTCAGTGCGAAAAAATATCGCTTCTGCCACAGCGTAACTTCACCTCATTGTTGCCATTCAGATGAGTGGCAGAGCAAAATACACAAAAAGTGAGTCAAGGTCACCAACATGAAACGATAGCGTGAGTCACAGGACAATCCAGTAACCACAATAGCAGCACTGATCATAATGTCTCAATTTACAAAGATGGTTGTTGAAGACCAAGCAGCCATCCAGGGCAGAGCTGGCACCCTCTTGTCATCATGCTTACTTTTCACTTCAACACCATGTCTTCTGGTGCTGTCTTCCTACAGCCATTCTTCTCCTGCTCTCCGAGAAGACGGGGCCATGGAAAGAAACAGGCAAATGCCACTTGCTAAAAAAAAGAAAAAAAAAGAGAAAAAAAAAGAACACATCTAGGGTGCACGCCATCAATCTGGGACTTGGGGACTATGGTTCTGGTCCGTACGTCTCCAGGTAAGTCACAGTTCCTTTCCACACCAAGTATGCTGGATGCCGCATTGCCTCCTTCTCCACTCGTTACCTGGCAAATACTATGGTACCTAGCCCCGCCTACCACCTCGTTATGATGTCTCAGGCTTGTGACGCTCCCTCACCAAGGCAGCTGCTATAGAAGGTAGCACTTTATACGTACTTTGAACTTTCACTGGCTAGGGATCTGACTCAATGGATGATCAGATGCATGGTTTTGAAGGACCCGGGTTAATATAGAAGGTAGCACTTAATACGTACTTTCACTGACTAGGGCTCTGACTCACTGGATGATCAGATGCATCACTCTCTGACTCAGGTTTATTTTTTTCTGTTGTTTTTTTGTTCTTTTTTCAAAGCACTAGTACCTCCGCCAGTGTTGGGAAAATAGGGAAAACTGCCAGTTTTCCCAAACTCCTAAAAGGTCGGGGGCTGGGCCCGACGACCCCCACCGTTGATAAATCTCATTGGTGGCCGTCGTTTCGTTTCGGCCTCATAAAAGGCCGGAGAGGCCCACCCGAGGCCTCCCTATTTTCCCAATCGCCGGAGGTACTAGTGGTCTAATGAAAACAGTTCCATATCTTGAAAAGTGGGTTTGAGGCCGGGGGGGTGACCACACCATTCGACCGGGACTTATCCTGCGAGCATTATCCAGTTCTGATGGGTACTGAGATGGATAGACAAGACTTGGGGATGTATTTTTTCCATAGTTGCAGCGCACCTCGGTGCGTGGATTTGCGCACGCATTGCGCACCGCGTGCAGCGCACCACAGCGCACCACAGCGCACCCAAGTGCACCGCACTGTAAAAATTACTCCAAAAAAAAAAAAAAAAAGTAGGGGTTTTATCATTCCTTAGGGTCCCCATCTCGGCAAAAATGTTAAACGCACCGCGCGAGCTCGCAAACCGGCCGTGCCCCCGGCCCAAACTTTTTATTTGGGCAAGGGCTGCCAAATTTCAATTTCCGCAGGCCCTACTCCCAGGAGTTTCGAAATGGCAAAGCATAAAATAGGGCTCATTCCGACTTTTTTCTTGCGCGGGGTATGGAAACTGGCCTTCCCCATCCCTTCTGCAAATCCCACGCAGTGGTGGGGTACATTCGCAAGAAGGGGGTAGTCGCCTCGTAACGACCTGCCCCGTGCACTTCGCAGAAGTCACAACTTGCATTTCCACGGCTGGCCGACCACCAATATATGCTGAAGATTGGCGTTCAGGTCGGCATGTCGGCAGTTATGGGTTAGGATGAAGATGCCCGTAGCTCTCTCGTTTTTTTGTTTTTGTTTTCTTATGAATACGTGCAGTGGGGCCTGCTCCACTGCTCACCACATGCACAAAAGAAATAGCATATGGCGGTGTATGGTCCCATGTTCTAGCAGAAGATTCATTCTACCAATATTATATACATTTGGTGAGTGGTGGAGGGAGCTCTAGTTTTTTTGTTTTTATTTTCTTACAAATACGTACAGTGGGCCCTGCTCCACTACTCACCACATGCACAAAAGACATAGCATATGGCGGTGTATGGTTCCATGTTTTAGCAGAAGATTCATTCTAGTAATATTGTATACATTTGGTGAGTGGTGGAGGGAGGCCCTGAGAATCACGTGGAGACACGAACAGACTCTAGCTGAATTGGTGACCCATAACTGCCGAGCAACAGCCTGAACTCGAATCCGAAGCATATATTGGTGGTCTGCCCCACCTCTTCCACAGATGACGAGACCATCCTCCTGATTGAAGCAGTGGCCCTCGACGACTCCACAATGTCCACATGTAACGTAGGAGTCATTCGAGGTACCTGCAGGGCCCCTCGAATTGACGTGAAGGGGACTCTTTGTTATCTCTTTTCTCTCTCTCCCTCTCTCTCTCTCTCTCTCTCTCTCTCTGGGGCCTTTTTTTTTTTCTTTTAATTTATATCGCGCACAGGACGCACCTCCCTCAGCGTGCGCACCGTGCACAGCGGACCGCACTGCACGCAGCGCACGGCGCACAGTGCGCGCACTGTCATTCCAGCGCACAGCGCAGTGTGCACCGCCCCGCACCGCACTGCGCACTGGTGCGCCGCAACTATGATTTTTTCTTTTTGGTTCAAGTGGAAACAGCTTTCTGTAACTTATGGTCATTGACAACAACATTCTCTTGCCCACGTCTTGTTTGCTATGCCATTCGCTTGATGTTTTTTTTTTTTCTTTTCTGTTTTTTGTCTGCAACCTACGGTTGAATTCGAAGAGGATCGGAGGTCTGCAGAGCATATCACATCACCTCCTGCCCACCAGAAGCCAGGACTTTTACCAACTCCGGTGCAGGGGATGCACTCGAAGGCAGAGCAGCAGCAGCACATCTCTGCAGGTTCGATGGAATGGAGTGTTCAGACGCGAGGACGTCGTAATAAATACCATAATAGACAAAGGACTATTGCTGCAAAGGAGCAGGGCCAGGACCACAATCACTACCCGACACCGGAGCATGGGCAAAATGCGTACCAGCAACAGCAGCAGTCAACTCAGCTGGTGCTAGAAGCACGAGAAGACGATGATGCCCAATTTAAAGAAGACATTGAGAGAGCCATCTCTGAGAGTCTAGGTGCGTTCTGCAAAACCTTTTACTTTTGGATTCTAAAAAAAAAAGCAATCAGGAAAAAAAAAAAAAAAAGGCGCAATCAGTTCCTGGTTACACTTACTCAGATAAATGGACGATGGGCTGTCTCAAAAATGATCAACCAGTACCTCATCACACTTGCGGCATACTCACACTAGCACCTTCTTTTTCACTCATTTCTGGACGGAATTACGGTCAGATGCATACAGGGCTGGCGGTCATTGTGGTAAAAATCTGGGTTAGGCCGACGTCCGGTCCAGACGGACCGGGCCAGACGGAGAGGGGGGGGTCCGTCCGGCAAAATCAGACGAGCCAAAAAACATCCCAGGATTTTTTTTTTTTTTTTTTGAAGATGGGGTTGGAGTGCGCTCGCTGAGAGGCTG